AGGAGACCGAAGCTAATAGACTCATTTTTCAGTTTCGAATTTTTACAAACGAAATTAAAAGACTTATCGAAAAAAATGAATTCTACACCAGTTACTACATACATTTTGACTACCTAATAATATTTTAATAATAATGGGAGATTGATAATTAATATGAAAAAAAATGCATTTTTCTAATGCATTCCATCTGATTCAATTAGCCCCGGGACCGGAGTAAGTCGACTAAGATTATTAAAATAAAAATTAATGTATTTTAAGCTACATCTTTGGCTACATATTAATAAAACTTGTATACAAATATATTTTAAACACAAACATTCGCTTCGCAGGGCAAAATAATGCTTCTTTTTGCAAAAACACGTCGAATGAACCTAGTTTTCGAGATTGGACTTAAAAGAATAAAATTTTGAGTAAGTGCTATAAGAGTCGTCACTAAATGAGTCATACAGTTTCATGCTGTGGTTAGTCTACTATCCCCATCCGTTTATTTTTTTAAAAACATTAACAATATACGATAACAAAGATACATAAGCAAAAAAAATTTGTTGGACTTCATTAAGTAAGAACTACACTTACTATCTAAGTAGAAATCAAATATCTCAGACAATCGTGTACGATTAAAACAAAAACTTTAAGAATAAAAATATTTACTTAGGTGTACGATTTTTTAAAATTGTAACTTCTATCATAGATGTGTTCGCAACAAGATGTTACAGCAGACTGTAACGGCAGTCGCTGCTGCGTCTTCAGACACGTTTACGCGTGTCTCGCGTGTTTTTAATGTGTAGCCTCGACAAGATGAAATATCGGAATAAGATGAATCGACTTACCGCTTGCTTCCTTTCCCAGCTCTTCATCGCCGACTTATACTTCTCGAACTCGTGACACCAGTCGGAATAAATCTTCTGGTAGTCGTTGGACTTGGCAGGCGCCGAACATCTGTGCGCATCCACAGTAATGTTGTACGAACACAGGAGAGCACCGCCGAGCCAACAATCGTATCTGCCAGCGTCCTGCTCGTTCACGCCGACGATTACCAGACCCTTCTCCGAGGTCTCGATGAACTTGTCGCCGCCGGCGCCGTACTTGTACGCGATCTGATACCTTCCCTTCTCTTTGCTATAATGGTACCACCGCACCTCTTGGTTCGCCAGGACCTCCGGCATCTTCACGAAGCAACCCAGATGCACCGACTGGCCCCACGTGACGACCAGTTTCCGTTTGCCGACGCTGCTGTCGCAAACGTCTGCCGTGGTGTTCGACACGTCTTGAAGAAGACTGCGTGAAAAAAATTAATCGGACGTCACGATTATACACGCAATAATTCTGTCGCGGGCATGTAATCTCGAACATTCACGTTGCCGCCGTTGATTTCATTCCGAAATATTTCGAAATTGAATTTTGATTCGTCAGCTGCAATTTTCTTTTTTCCTTTATTTTATTTTATTTTTTTTATTTTTGTAAAAGTATTTCGTTTCACCGGACGGAAATGAATCTGCGGTAACTGAAATATACGGTGCGTAAAATCGGCGCGAATATTTCTGCTCCGAAATCTGCGTACCGTAATCAAGCGAGCAAATTATGATGAAAATTGAATGTGTTTTATTCTTTGTTTTTTTTTTTTTATATAATATGTGTGCATCTCGCGTAAAATTAAAGATTATAAATTGCACACTCCGCGTGTGTACTCGCAATTTATTTTATGATCAGGTTTACGGAGAATGCGATGAGCACTTACCCTGGTTCGTAGGGTTTACACGTGTTTGAGTCCTTATCCCATCCACAGTAAGGATCGTGGACGCATCGCAGGCAGTTGTCGTATCGTCGAGTGCACATTACCAGATCGATCTGCTTTATCCGATGATCCGATGCCACGTAGAGAGCCTTATGTTCCTTCGAGATCTCCATCGCCTGTATCGGCTCGCCAGGCGTGACATCGAAAACATCGAGCAAGATCGACTGGGATTCGCCATTGCTGTCGATCCACTGTACAACCTTGTGAACGCGGCCATCACCTGTAACACGCGATAAGAGGCACGTGCTCACGCATTTTTATCGGAGAACAATAAGTTATCAGATCGCGTTTCTATTCATCTTGACAGATATTCGATAGTTTGCTTACTAGAGCCGGCGTAGTAGACGGTATAATCCAAATCGATGCCCACGAAGTCGATGCGCAGCTTATCGACGACCAATCGCGTGAGCATGACGTCCCGCTTGTAGAAGACCGGTTTCTCGTTCTCGTGCGAAATCGCGGAGTCCATCAGTGGATGGGACCTTATGAAATTCAGGACGGTGTCCGGCAACGTCTCTGTGTCGTTGACACATTGGCCCGGGCGCGGTTCCGGAACCTTGTTGGACAAGACTGGTAGCCACGCGCTACTGCTAGTTGCTTGCTCTTTGAACTTTCCGCGGAAAGCCTCTTGGATGGCGTCAATGTGGAAGGAACATATCGCAGAACCCATTAACCCGTTCGTCGATGTGGTAAAGGTACCATAGAAATGCGTATCGTCACCCGGCACCTTGTAAATGCTCTCTGAGCAAGGATGCAATAATAATGTAATTACATGTCGCCAAAATATATGAGTCAGAATGTAATAATAACAGCAAAAATGCTTTTTTCCCCGTTAAAAACAAAGACTTCGTAACGTCAGATATCATTTCTATTAGACATTTTTATCACAACATTTTTTTATATGAGAGAAAAATAATTATAAATATCTTTAATCCTCTACCGGAAAAAAATTGGGATTATTTAAAAGCACCATCAATATTTTTGATTGTGAATTTTGATAGATAAATTTGAATCTGTAAAAAAAAATAAATAAAATGCAGTCCGACTTCTAATATATCAGAATTTTCGTTAGACTTTTATATAATCCAGAACAATATAAAAAAAAAAATTTGCTCTGTTTTTCAAAAATCCCCTATTTTGTGCTGGCGGAAGAGTTAAAATTAATGTTGCCGGCGGAGGGTTAAAAGCACTAAATTCTAAATGTGGTAAAAACGTAGAAAGGGAAGTGTAATTTACACTATAAAAAATATATCATACAAAGCAAAAATATATAGGTATCATGTTATACAACATATTAGGTTAAGTAAAAAGTCATCGCGTTTTTTTAAAAGACATCTATCAGTAAAAACCGCAATTACTTTCTTACCAACAATATAAATATATCTTGATAGAGTAAAGTTTCAGCTTTAAAAATCTCTTTTTTAAATTATACGATACGACAATTTTTAATGGAGTTATGAGCAATTAAAGTCAAAATAATTCTTTTATTTAATCCGCGATAACTCAGTAATCAAAAGTCGTAGGAATATTAAAAAAAACGATTTTGTAGGGAAAGTATCAAGCTTTCACGATAGGTAATCGAAAATTTTCTCAAATTCGTTTTGGACACGTTACAAATCCACAAAGTGAGAAGAACATTTTTCGTCTTTTTCAGCTCGTAGTTTTTGGTATGTAAAAATTATCAAACTCATATAAACTTAAAAAATGTGATAAGCTTTTAAAAGCAGAGATTTCAAGCTTTAAAACTCTTTTTTAAAATTTGAATTTCATTCATTATTGACGAAGATATTGTATATACAACTTTGAGCTAAAAAATACGCGATGACTTTTTACTCAACCTAATATATGCCGATACTCACGTATTTCGTTGAAATAAAACGGGAACTCGCCGGGTATCGAGCAATTCAATCTGGCCTTGAGGTATGTAGCCCAATTCTGCGAGAGTATATTTTTACCGCCAGTGTCCCTCTTGCAAACTCTCGCCACGCGGGAATACACACTTTTACCGCAGTTTATGTATTCGACCGCGGTCTCGCGGAAAAAGAAGAACACGTGGCTGCCAATGTCGAACGAACCCACAAAGTTCGGTTCTACAAAGAGAGAGAGAGAGAGAGAAAGAGATAAAGAGGCGTGATATTATCTCAGCATTAATCCTCTGATATTTTCGAGCGCTTTGAAATCTGTTTCTCGCAATTCTATGTACGTTTTCTTGCTGAGACGATATTTCGCAGTTGCAAAACTGTTCAACCAGAATATTCTGGCGAGTTTATATGGTCGCGTAATCTAGCCGTTAGCGCGTCTACCTCATTCTACAGCAAAATAACTGCATCTAGGGCAGATAGTTCGCGTAGATACTCCGCAATAAGCGCGCACAATAATAATCGCGAATCGAGTATTCGCCGCGGGTGGTACACGAGAAGATGTCCTTGCTCGTTCTGTGCGTAAAAACTTTCATCGCCGGGACTGTTCCAGCTCCGTTCAAACGCGGACAATAATCTCCTCCGAATTCCGTTTAATCGCAGGCAGTTCATAGGCAACGGTGTTATTTTGTGCCTGTTTCAAGAACAAGCGAGAGGAAGAGAGAATAAAAAACGAAATTAAATAAGCAGAGCTTAGAAATAATGCACTTTAATTGCGTCCCTTGAAAATGTTTCGTGGAAAATAGTCTGAATTCAGTAAAAAAATGATTTTGCAATCTCGTGTTATTTGTTAGATGAATTTATAATAAATTTTTTCAAATTCATTTCGTCAAATATATAAATAACTAAAATTAAATCGCGATTCATCAACATCCAGCTCGAAAAGCTGCACAGCGTGAGAAGTGACATTAAATCGGCTTTATTGAATTTCGCGTAGTAGAATTATAAGAATTTATTATTATTTTTGAATAAATTGCGCGAAGAAAGAGCCCGAAATAACACTGTTAAATTCGTACTGTCAAATTATATCTACCTAATGTGAATTTTAATCATTTCTAAAATTATTTCTAATGTCTAAAAGTCGTCACTATTATTCCTATTCAATATGTTGTTAATTTAACTAAAACAATGAAGTTAAACAATTTAACTCAAGAAACGTATTAAATTCAAATTAAATTTAACTTATTATTTAAGTGTCATATGTAACGTGGACGTTGTTTACTTTAAAACTAAGCGATTCAGCCACAGAAATGGATTGATTTACATTTTGGCATACCAAGAAGTTAAAAATGACAAAATATTATTTAACTCGAGAAACTCTGAGTTACTATTGTTCCTTTAATATCTAACAATGAATTTCTCAACGGTTTAGTGAGTCCACAGCTGGGGAGCGTTTTCGAGACATCGGTTGAGAAATATTACACATAATTACCACACAAATCCGCCTAGTTGGAAATAATTTACTACAAATCAACTTCAACCTGTTTTGCCGATCAACGATTTTCGTGTATCTGTGGTTTGGCTACAAGCTAGATTCAGGTCCAATATGTGCCATGGCATAAATCGTGCAAATATTTGCGTTATTCGTAGCTCGATGCAAGCGTTGCGGTTTAATCTTGGTATAATTGCTTGTTGTACCGAGGAAACTGATTTATCCCACACAACGATGAAGTTGGAGTTGGGTGACGCGAGAAAATGGCGAAGAAAATCGAATTTTTCCACGTTCGAATCGCGTCAACGTCGCCAGAGTCGGGCTGGGCCTTTCTTGTCGATTTTACATTATGCGACGGCGCTCGGCTGGAGGCCGCCGCAATCTCTCTCACGGTTCAGCGATTAAATCGATTGTCTGACGCTTCGACGGCGGAAGTTTGATATATTGGGGCGGTACAAGCCCGTGTAGATAGATAGAGACGAGCGAGAAGGAGAGAAATAATTTGCGAAGAGGAGACGTGGAAGCATCTCTTAGCTAGATGACTTTTGATTGCGCACCCCGGCGCTGTTGACGAGTAACATACGACGGAGTCGTCGCTCGAATACTGAAAGTACTCGCTTATACTTCTAGAAAAAGAGCATCTCGTTACATCGCGACAAAACGAGACTCTCACATTTTAAATGCAACGGATGTTCAAAAGGAAGACGGTTAATGTTCCAGCGACATTCCGCACGCGCGAGGATCCGTGAAAGTAGACGCTCGTCAGCTAGTTATTCAAAGCTTGTTAAGTCCACTGCGTTCTACTCCCTATTTTTCTTCGTCTCCCTTTCCGTCTGCGATTTACCCTCCCGGAGCCGGTTTTCCTTATCATGACCTCGCACCACGAACCGCATCAGTCTTCATTGTGTCTTGCCATGCCGCCAAGTAAACCGAAGAAGCGAGAAAGAGAGGCTATGGAGCGAAGAAGGAAGGTCGACGAGGAGGAAGGGTCGGAGAGTCGCGAAGATTATACGAGAAGCGCGCGTAGAGCCCATCCGTCTCTTCCGGGACTCTCGCCTGCTTTTAATCAACGCCTCTGTTAATAGACAAACTCGATGCGGAGAATGGTCCTTGATGGTGGCGCTCAGTAGTCTTGCTTGTAGGGTCTAAACGGAGGTGGCTCCTGGCAGCTTGAGGAGGCGGAGGTATAGGCAGAGGCGAGAAAGAGATAGAGATAGAGATAGATAGATAGATAGAGAGAGAGAGAGAAGCGAAAGGGCTGCTGGCTCGAAATTAAACGACGAAACAAATGGCTAATCATGCGTCCCGCGGGAGGGCGCGAAGGATACAAAGTGGGACAAAGTCGTCCAACCATTCCCTCCGGCTTTTGCCGCTTCGATACCGCGACCTTCCTTCCTGACGACGACGGTTGAAGGAGGTAGGTTCGAGTGGTGGCACGCTTCGACAGAGTGAGGAAAAGCGGAAGCAGCCCCCTCGAGAAATACAAAGCAGCCATCTAACCCCGTCTTGCGCCATTATTACGGTCCGATATATCGCGAGCATGAACGCTCACCGCGAAAGGACACTGTGACAAGGACGAAGTTAAAATTAATGTTTATTCGGACAACTTATTTTCTCGGTAACCAAAAAAAAAAAAAAATAATTTTTATAATAATTAATAAGTAAAAAAATGTTCATTTAACAGAACAAGAGCCTACGTAAATATTTCGTTTGCATTTGACTTGATGAACTAACGAACGAATAATATTCAATGGGAAACGTAAACTATTTGTGGAACAAGACTTTCTTGACAATCATTTCAAAACGTAGACAGTCAAAGGATTTCGATATTAAACGGTCGTATAACTAAATTTCGTATAACTAAAAATTTCGACGTATTCCTCGTGTCCCGTCACGACCGACGAACCTAACGAATCGGATTCTATTTACACTTGATCATCGCAAATCAGCGCGCTCTACAACCCTACCTCCCGCGAGTTACGCTATTAAATTCCATGTCGGATTGTGTGTCTATATTCGACGCACGTCCTAATCTACATTTTCCAATTTCCTTGCCGGGCCGCTTTTGCCGCGCCTCTCACGTTCCGCGCTCCGATAACGAAAAATCGAGAGGATCGCAATAATCCCGGCCGACGAATCAGAGAGCCGGTAAAACTGATTAAAGCTCGGGCTTCCGAACTACGCGGGACTGAGACAAGGTAAAGAGAAGGAGAGAGAGAGAGAGAGAGAGCGGTTTCCGGCGGATGGACGAGAAAACTTTAACTTCTTCAGTCGGCTCGCTTTCTCTCCTTTTTCTCGAAAAAGGAGAGGGTACTTTCGTCGAGAACGACGCAGCGTTTAGGACGAGGAAGATCGCGTCGGGGTGTTATTTTATTACCCCGTTTGTAGAGAAAGAGAGAAAGATCCGGCACCCTGTCTAACCGGTCCGATAGCGAACCTAGCGCCGACATCTCCCTCCAAACTCCTATAATTCCACTTCTAACCCACCCCTGCCGTCGTTTCCCTGCTTTTCTGCGCGAGAGAACCTCCTCGTCGTCCGCGAGGAAGGCAGTAGCACCCTTGGAAAATAGGCGGGGCAGTTTATTCGCATCCATTTGAACCCAAAGCGTGTTCCCGGCTGACGGGATCCTACTTCAAAGCTCCCTGTCTATTTCCTCCTAAGCAGCACACCCTTCCTGCATGGTTTCTTCAGGAAGACCCGCTTCGCTTTTTAGTCGATCAAGGACGACCCCCTCTTTCTATTAATACTATGCGCTCTAAGCCTAATGGAAATTTCATTGTTCCCTCGACTGTAATTATCTTCTAGTAAAGGTTTCTCTATGAAGCGCAGAGATTTAAGTATATTTGATAATGATGGACGTACCGATCGATATCTATACGTAGGAGAGACGTAATTATAGAAAATATGCTCCCAAAAGATACTATCACATCGAAGATTCGAACACGTCTTTCAATATTATAAAGTCATTGAATATCATCTTCGATTCAATAAAAGAATATAGATATTCTATTAAGTTTAATTATTGTAAGCTCTTAACTACTAATGATATCGTTTGTGAAAAGAGTACTCACTATCGAGCCACTTGGAGTCGTACTTGAGTGTCCTCTTGAAGCTATACGTCTTACGACCGGTAGTCAGATTGTAGAGATCCGTGCGGAAGATTACGGTATCGGCTTTGGTGAACTCGGCGTTCGTGCCGGAATAAAGAGCTGGCAGGTCTCCGGGATTGCCCTTCTCGACCCAGACTGCCGTCGAATTGTCCGCAGGGTCATAAGGGCACTTCGCGATACCCATTCCCACTCCCGGGACAAACTCGTGGCGCGGTAAGTGAGTCAGATTGCTCTGGAAAGAACATTATTTGGGGGACATGGTCAGATAGGCACAGATGATAAGATGTTATAGAAACAAAAGGGATGAGTTGAAAGGCACAAATCTTACAGAAGGTAATAAAATTATAAAACCAGCTCGATTAACCTTTAAATAAGTAGATGGTTTAAAATGCAAATTGATTGATAGAATGCTCTCATAATACTCCTAAAAAGATTATAACTTTATAATTTTTTTTTATTAGTTTTTTTTACTTTTATGTCAAATTTATATTAGTTACAGTTTTATAAGATAAAAAAATGTGAAGATTTTAGGACTTTTGAACACTAGGCAGTGCTTTTCATTTTTCTTTTCCAAAACGAAATTTTAAAGAAAATTATACCTAGGGTATCGTGACCATCTTATTTATTCACTTAAAGATTCAAGTTAAAAAAAATATCAATTTCAAGCCGATTAATAAATTCGTAGATAAAAGAAATAATGAAAGAAATAATTTTAAAGCATGTTGTATAATAAGTTTATATATTTTAGTATCTAGAGGAAAGCCTCCCCCTATTATGAGATAGATGCCTAATATGAAATAGCGGCGTTTCTGCTAAATAATAAACTAATAAACGCTATCTATTGGTTTCACCATGAATTTATTGTTCTTGGATTTAAAACTATTTATTAGAAAATTCATTATTAGATCATGCCTTTAGTCATTGTAAAACAAGATTTTAGAATTTAGATGTCTTCAAGTTTCATTCATTGAGATGAGCATTTAAACCTTATTTATTATTTAATAAAATAAATATTTGGCAATAAATTCTTCATAGTGATAGAATAAAGTCGTACTAATAGAAAAATACGGGATATGTTGAATTGTTTAATTACAGAAGTTAGATTTAATGAGGCGTGGAAATCGTAATATGAGATACCCAGAGTATTCCTAATATGAAATAATCCATGCTCCTATGTTATAGTGAAAATCATTGCTAAAATATAAATGTTATTGTACTCGTACAATAATAAAAAAGACGACCGGAATGAATATCGAGTGCCTATATCTGCGATGCTTGATTCCAACCTGAAAACGAGTTCTGGATATAATCTATCGCATGCTCATTTTTCGCGCACGCTGGCTGTATTTGTTTGTATTTTAGAAACATTAAATAAAGTTTTTAATTGCAATACGGATTTATTTTGCGTTTTACTATCGATTTCTCGAGGCATCTCATATTAGAAGCACAATTTTTTTTGCATTTCTTTAATTTATAAAAAAAATAAAATTTGAATTAAATTTTACATAACATTATCTTAAAGTTTATTAAATTCCCTTAAAAATGACCTATTATTTTTTTCAATTCTGCCCATAGATTTCTAGCATTTACCCAAAATGATCTCGGTATCTCATAATAGAGATTTTTCCTCTATACTATATACACACATATACGTATATATATTTATAAAATTTAATACCGAACATCTTGGTGTAATTTAACTTTATTTAGTAGCTACAATCTCCAGCAGTAGCTTAGGTAAGTAGCTGGATGTTATTATTACGCGAGATGTTACGGCACACCCGGGACTCATAATGTTTAGCAAAGCGAAACTGTTGTATCTTTTGTCGTGTTGTTATACGGATACTTAAGCGTAAGATTCATTCATCTACGCTTTGATGCACTGTATACAACTTTGCAAATCACATCATGCGGATTTGTACTATTGCGATAATGCATGTAAATTTCCATTAATAACAGCATTATTCATTATATGGCTTTAAATATTTCGACGGGAATTAAATTAAAATGTACCGAGGAATGCGTGAGTGGCGGTGAAATTTATTCGTAACGCGAAAATTAATTAACGATATTATTTTCAGATGCCTCCTCGCGTTCTGTTATTAATTAATTAAATTAAGCGTAAAGCAACACAAATTGGTGTGCGTTACATGTATCACGCTGAATCCGTAATACATTTCAAGGGAAGTTGCGGATGTATTTAACATCGTTTCGCATTTTCAATTTTCAATAAACAAATGACAGCAAACGTTTAAACGTGTGTATATATTGTATATATATGTATATATATATTTTTTTTAGCTCTTTGCCAGACCAATTGTCGTTTTTAACAATTTCACAATCCAATCACAAACTGTCGCGTATTACAAAATCAAATTTAACAAATTTATTTAGTATACATTGCATTTGTAAGGTATAAAAGAGAATTGAATGATGTGAGAAAACAATTGTAGTATTTATTTTAATATCCTACAATACTATTAAGAAAATAAAAATAATTCCTCATATTACAACTGAGAAGTTTAATGACGTTTAGTGATTGACGATATTTAATGATAGACTATTTTAATCGTCTATTTATATCTTTAAATACTTCACCTGCTCACTTAAAGGTTACATTTTACATAAGATGTATGTAATAATTCATATACAATCACAAATTCGCATTTACACACAGAAAGAATAGTTTTGCTGAAATATCTAAAAACTGGCTGCAGATCTGAAAAATAACTTTGTTCAATCATCCAAATATTATGTATTATTTCAGAACGCTCAAACTGATTACTAGAATGTCAAAACTTTTGACAGCATTGCTCTTCGCGCTTGAGATCCCTGCATAATGATTTCGATGAGCCAACAAAATTATTTTCAAATCTTTATCTTGCTAAATGTTTATTATCAGTATTTCAGCAAAATTGTCCTTTCCATGTACGTGTTTTGTATATCTTCTCTATATTGAAAATAATATGGAAACTTACATAAATCACCCAATCCTTAGGTGAATGTGCGTTCGTACCGCACATGTAAAGGCGATTGCCGTCTCCCATCGGCTGTATCACTCTTATATGATTTCGGCAGTCGAAATGCTGGAAGAAAAAGAAGTATCGGAAATATTAAATTCAGTAGTGCGACATGTATTGACGGTGAGAAAATTGTTGCATAGTGCATAGATGAGTTGAATAAAAATCAAGAACGCGGCCGCGTTCCCTTCGAACTCTGGGAAAGCGAAAGATCGCGTCGCGTGCGCGGTGAAGTCGTCGCGGTCGATCACGTCGTGCGCGTATTTCGCGGCGAATCGGTGGACGGGAAATGAATTGGCTTTGTCGTCACGTAGGGAATATTTGCGTGGACCTTACACCTCGACGACGATGCGTACACGGTGCATACGAATGAAGCTGTGATAAGCGCGCGCGAGCACGCGTCTCTATGGAACAGAACGCAATCGTGCTCGTTTTATCGCTGTAGTACTACGATTTCGGGATATGAATAAAAATGGATGCGCGTTAAAAAATCAGAGATTTCCAGATTAACTTTAATTTTCGGCCCAGATACGATAATTTGGAAAAAACTCCGTCACACGTACGATTCTTCTTCGCGTACAATCTTACAATATTTATATGCCAAGATTCATTAAAATTTAACTGATTAAAGCAGATGAAATAAAGGAAGATAGAGATTAGCTAACGGAACTTTAATATACTTGTATAATTCAGAAATTAAGACGCGGTGCGGTAGAAGTTCGTGTAGATTATTCGGAAAGAAGAATACTACGGTGAGATTCCTTTGCGTTAAAAGATACAAATGAGATACATTCTCTCTCGAATATGGAATAACACCGCAGTATCTATTAAAAAGTAAGCTTGCCATCTTTCGTTTCGCGCGCCTTCAAAGAAGCTGGCTCTTTTTATTTTACTCCACGTCGGCTGTTTGTGACTTTTTTCTCCTCGATGTTACGTTCTATGTCCTTTTTTGCAATCACAATTCTTTGGCCTTTCTGTTTCAGAACGCATTCAGGCCGGTTTACCGGTACCGGAATTAAAATTCTTCTCAAAGACGACGCGCAATGCGAAAAGGAACGCAAACCGAACTGTAAGAAAGAAACCTACCTCTGATTTGCCTTTGGACACGCAATTTGCCACATTGCTCGGTTCCAGATTCAGAGCGTCTCTCTGCAACAAAGAAAAAAACATAAATTATATCACACTGTCTTGTAAATTAAAGCAAAATTTATTGGGAAACTTGGGAGATTTATCGCACGCATGTGTATATATTGTAACATTTGTTGTAAAGTCTTCGAAGATATAAATCCTCCGAAAAATTCGAATATTTCATATTGAAAGAATAAAGAGAATTCCATTTTGAAAGCGACTCCATAATTATTCATTTTTCGAGGGAAATCTGCAGGACTCCTCTTTGTAAGTGCTTTCTTACGGACGCTCGACGTGCTCGACCTTACAAGAAGTGTTAGAAGTGCATACTTCACATTTTGCCTTGTGTTACGCCACTGTGTCGCAGCAGCCTCTCGTAACACGGCTAGAGAGACGCTAGAAATACATTAGAATAAGGTCAATATATTCAAGAGATTTACAAAGAGAAAATTTTCGGGAAAAAAGCTAACGAAACTCTTCCTCCCTTCTCCCTCTTTTTCCTTTCTTTATTTTAAAATGGGTCTACGGTTGTTCTGGATGCGATTCTGCATCATAATAGGTTCTCTACATCATCCTGGAATGTGTCCTTGCGTGAAAATATTCAGTGAAAAATGCCAGAATGTACTTGTTATAATCACGCTGCGCTACAACCTCTTTCTATTGCGCTCTCTATGTACATGTCGATAGAATACGATCACGGCGTAGGAAGTGGTTCGCTTGCAAGGTCAATCGTCCGAAACGTGGACCTAACGATCGATCTCCTGCGGACGCCGCGTGCCGTTCCACGGGAATGTCACAGCCAGAAACGGAGTCGATGTTCGACATTGTCCCGGCCGAACGTAAGGGTGAGCCAAAACAGCGTTCCCCGACGTTGATCTACGACCAATAAATTACCGAAAGAATCGTTCCGCGTTGCGACGAGCGTTGGACGAATGGTCACGGACAAGAGTAGACAACATAGGACGTTAAATCATAGCAATTTCCACAGGGCACAGTCAGGGCCCGTGATTCATCTCCGCTCTCGAGAAATCCTCCGAGTGACGCATATCGCGATAGTAAACCGAGAACGTACCGGTCGTACGTGGTGTCCGTTTGCAATTTTGTACTATAAAGTGAATGAACTCAATAATAGTCCTCGCCAATCGTAACGCACTGAAATCCCTGCATTGCGGAGCAGATAAATATACAATATTGTTTCTACATACGACTCGCTGAACTCCGCAAGTCACATCCTATGCACAATTTGTCGGATAGGATGTACGTTGGCGAGAATCCAGGCGACGCGGTTGAAGTGGATACGAACATGATTTACCTCAGCGTATATGTACATGATCGCAATATTCAGAACGGACTTGGAATGCCCTATTATAAGCATAATCCACTTACAAACAGCGTCGCGTCTAGCTCTGCGCAAATAAGCGCGCTTACCACTGCGGTAACTTCGACTCAAAGTTTCCGATGAGCGTGTATAGGCTACACGAAATAATAGCATAGTGATAACGGGTTACTCGCAACTGTCTTATTCCATTTGACTCGCGCGACTGTATTATTTCCCTTGATTTGGCGAGCCTCCATCGATCCAGCTTCCGTCTCTTTTGCTCGAGAAGATTCGAGATTGGTTCAAATATGACTTCCACTTTGGAAAACCATTAAAATCAGTTACAAGCCTTCCTCGTCGTTCCGCGTAAGCGTTGATAACGATGTATTACTCGTTAAGCACCGCAGTGCATTAAGACGGTGTACACAGCCGGCGGTAATTAAAAGCGGAGCAATTCCCGGTATCCGCGCTTATACTCGTAAGTCCCTTTTGCAGATCTCTCCTCGTTATACTAATCATTACAATCCGTCTGTGAGCCCGGTACGGAGACGATGGGAGCGCGAAGATGGCGAGAAATAGCGAAAGATGGTCGGAGAATTTTTTACGACGGAAACAGAGAGATAAAAAGAGAGGAAGTTTTCCTCTCTTCCTCCGGCCTCGTGTTCTATCGTAGAATAGGTTAACATTACAATGCCATTTTTTAAGTCTCGCGTATGTAAAGTATTTTGATTTAAACACGCGAATTGCGCGTACACGCTTTTAATTAATCCAGGAATTAATCCGGATGTTTCTAAACCCCAACGTTTCTAAACCCAAAAAAATAATGATTTGTAAAATATTGTTTGGTATAGATATTGTTTAACAAATCTTTCGCCTTTAATAACTATATATTTTTTGTGAAACTTTAAACATGCAATTTCATCGAATAAAAGCGTTATATTAATTAAAATATTACTTTTAAGAGAAATATTGTCATAATAAGTTACCTAACTTACTCTGTTTAATATTTGTTTGGTTTTTACTTACTTCTTTTCGAAGAAAACTGTAATTGGATCTATATCTTCATAATGTTTTTGAGCACTAATAAATTGAAAAGCAATCAATAATATACAATATGTATTAATGATTTTAATTGAGATGTAAAAACACTTCAGGTGACATTTACATAAAGAAAAAAATTAGATGATGACTACTCCCTGTTAAAACATAATGGCAGTGTTTAGCAAAGAAAGCTGATCAGTGAGCACTCAGCGATTCTTTGATACGATTGATTTTTGCCTTTTTCACTGGATCTAAGTGTAGACATCAATTATAATAAAGAATCACTGAGCACTCACTGATCAGTTTTCTTTGCTGAATGCAGCCATTAACTGGCATTATTACGCAACTATGTTCGGTCACGTATGTAGTTAGTAACGATCTTAAGGCGGAAGCACAGATCTCTGCATAATGCATAAAGCATAAGAAAATTAACCAATCAGATTCTCTTACTTCATGGAAAGGAAGGAAATGGGGGACTTTAATTGATTCATTCTCCTGTGCGTTTTGTGTTACGCAAGACTCTGTGCTCCCGCTCTTACGTAGCATTTCATCAAAGTCGTGTAATGATTACGTCTCCAGCCTCTATATAGTTTAGGCAAAATCCCATCGAAGAATCGTTGGAATAAAAAACATGTATGCATGTTCCTTAGTGAATTATAAATTCGGGCGCTAGATATCTATAGGAGGAGCACACGTAGGTGCAGCTGTCGGCAATAATATTGTCGCCAAACCGCGATGCATCATTTTATCGCGCCGCCTACGACGCCATTAACTTTATAGCACCAGAGCGTGCCTCCCGGCATGCAAACGCCTCGACTTCCATTACCGGCGTGATACGTCGACTATTAAACAGAAATATCTCCCATCACCTCTCGCCTGCCGGTGTGTGTCCTACTCTAAACTCCGGGAATCTGACTGTTGCGGATTTTCTACTATCATTTCCGGATAGGATGTTACCATTATCTTCTTTCATCAACGCATCCGCATTCTACATACGTTATTACGTCGAAATATGTTTGTAGGAATTTTGTTTTTTTTTTTTTTTTTTTTTTTTTTTATTAAAAAATGTATAAATCGATGAATCGAATAACACAGAAATCTCAAGAACAGTCTCTTGAAATTGTCTCGAGAAAAAGACATCTGCACCACGTTTACGTTCCATTTCGATTACGCTTGATTCTTTATATTCATGCGCGGAAAGCCTCTCTCATTCGCTTCCTCCGTTGAAAGGCTTACGAATCGCTGAAATACACGGCTTCGGACTTTCAGTATTCGGGTCGGATTGATTAAGTTCTTGGTAAGGTGACGGTGTTACGACAGAGAAGCGTCCAAAGGTTGTCACTGCTCGTATACTCTCGTTCGTTCGTTTGCCCGTCCTTTTCTTTCTACATTACGCTTCGAGCTTAATCATCGTCGCAATTTGTGCACAGCTGAACATTTCTGTGTGTGCGTGAGCATGCATTTCTACAGTGTGCCAGAAACGGCTTGCAGATGATTAGCTTCCTTGAAACGAAGACTGTACCATTCGCATGCCTCTTTGTCGATGCCGCCGTTGATTCTCTCCTTTTCAGCTTACATACTGCTTCCAGTAGTACCGGCGCCGGGCGATTATAACATTGAAGACACGCAAGATTGTAATTATCCCTAAACATGACTCATTTCGAGATATCAGTGAATCACTAAACTAATTTTCTAATTTACTTTAATAGAAACGTTACGATTTTAATCTAGAAATAAGTGATATTAGAGATGTTATCTCTCTACTTAAATAATATAAATAGTATATATACTTTATGAGTACTTTCTGCTAAATAAAAAAACATGTACGCGGATCGAAGTATTAACGTCAGAAGAGAGAGAGAGAGAGAGAGAGAGAGAGAGAGAGAGAGAGAGAAAGTGAAAGATCAACATATGCAAGGAGGGGGATGAGAAATCGTATAATTTACCGTGCTAAAATATTAAAGACAGAAGACTACTGTGGCATCCCCAGGGGTATCGACACCCCCTAACCTCGGAAACTCAAGAAACGTAACGGTACCTGCGAGGCTCCTTTAAAAATTCACGAGTCGAGGCCACAACGGCGCTTTTTATCTCATCAAATAGTAATGCCGGGCATTGGACCGTTAGGAGGCGGGATCCCCTCAGGATCTTTCCCGATCACGCGTCACGTATATATTGTCACGCCGAGGGGGAAAAAATTTAATACGTCTTATTATTTTTGCATTAAATAATTTACAAAAATCTTCATGCTTTTTTAAAACTTTTCTTTCCCTTATCGCGAATCTTTTTATTCAACTGTACACGCTTTAAGAAGCTGGTTGCGAAGAAGAGCTCTCTCGATGGTATGATCGAAACGTGAGTGGTATACAAAGAGTGAAATGCATCCGTGATAAATTCATATAGAAATGACGTACGATCGACTGACATCATATTGTCCCTTTAGCGCCGAATGATGTCTACATCCTCGATTCGTAGTCGTGTCAGGTGATAACCTTCGTTACGCATAAAATTTTCGCGAACTGACCTGACATTTCAGCAGGACGAAAAGTGCCTTTCGTTGTCGATCGGTGCCGTAAGTCACTTTTTCCTAATGGAAGCCGTCACTCCGCACCTTTTCGTCCTGCCGCGGCCTCGCACGGTTGGCGACGTGCGGAGGGAAAGA